GGGGGTTATGGGTTTCGTTTGTGTGTTTGTTTGCTTGCTTGCTTTCTTGTTTATTTTTTGTTTGTCTGTTTGTTTGTGTGTTTGTTTGTTTGTTTGCTGTTGTTGTTATTGTATTTGTTGCTGTTTTATTGAGGATGGATGTGGGGATGTTTTTTGGGTTGTTGTTTTTTTCTAAAACAAGACACGTGAACAAGCTTTCAGATTATACCGACAACTCTATGCCCAACAATTGACTAGCGCCTCGTTCCACCGTGTCATGACACAATTAATGTCAAGGTCAATGGGATGTTTCCTTCTCGCCTTGCGCGCCCTTCTCATCCTGGTTGTTTTGGGTGGAGAAGGAAGTAACGCAGGAGGGGGGAAGAACTGTTATTGTGAATATCTTGACTGGTTTAGTTGATTTGTTTTCAGTAAGTATTACGAAACTAGCAAAACAATTAGTTTATCATATAAATGGCACTGATTAAAGGTGTCTCTTGAAAGTAACATACAAAGAAAAGTAGAGATAAGGACGATAGATATTTTATGGGAAAGAAGGCGCAAACCTCTCCAGACCACCTGGGGTGGAGCGGGGGGGAGGGGGGCTGCAAATACAGAGTTAGGAATAGACATAATTTGGGGCTTGTTGAATAAGGAATTAAGAGTTTACTTACCTTATATATAGAATTTATTGTGGAGACGCAGTACGGCAAACTGTGTGACTAGGGTACCCCTGGGTGACAAGCATATCTGGGGAAATGTTATCATCATTTTGAGAATTTTTTTCTATATTAAAAGTGATTTTGAATATTTTTTCAATGCATTACCCGAAAAGAGTAATCAATATGGGCTGTATTTACATTTTCCCAGCTATATAATATGTTTTAGTCACCCCGGGGTGCCCGTCACCCCAGTTTACGATATTGTTGTTGAACGTAGCACAAAATGAGATCAGTAATAGTTGTTCTCGCTCTCAAGGCTATAGTGCTGTCAAAAATTCATTGTAAGATAAGATAAGATACATCTTTATTGTCCAGATCCTGGCACATTGGTTTGATGTTTCATCACGTGTACACACACACACACACACACACACACACACACACACACACGCACACACACACACACACACACACACACACACACACACACACACACACACACAAACGCGCGCGCGCGCGTACACACACAGGCTTACAATCATATGCATAATATAAATGAGCAGCAATATAAACAATAATAATCGTAAGCTAGATACACACTCAATGCTATTTTGATATGCTCTTAGGTCGTAAGTATACTTATACAAGATGGTAAAGATGGAAGCATTTTGATAGATGATTGTAAAAAAGACCTTCTATATCTTTCTTTGTTACAGATCAGAAGCCTAGGTCTTTTACTTCCGACTGATTTTTTATTTGAGGGAACAAGGGATGTTTGTTGTCTAAAAAGATGGAAATAATTTTTTTTTGTGCAAGCTGTTTTGTACAATTCATCTAAGTAGGGGAATGTAGATGTTGAAATTGTACATGCTTTCCGTATTAGTCGATTTAATTTTTCTTTATCTTGTTGTCTTGTGTTCCCGGCCCATGTTGTTTTACAAAAATTGATCATACTTTCTATGGTTGAATGGTAGAAAATGGACATCAATGTTTTATCAGCTTTAAAATACTTAAACTTCCTTAGAAAAATGGTGCAACTTATTGTCAAGTAACTCAAATATCTCATCAACTATCGAACATAAACTCTCCAGTTTTTGCACAGTGACTTGTATCAATTTGTCTTAATAGATAATAATATTAATAATAATAATAATAATAATAATAATAATAATAATAATAATAATAATAATAATGGATTTTATATAGCGCATATCCACTTATGCAATGCTCTTTGCGCTTAACATGATACATATTATGGATTTACAAATCAATTTTAAAGGCATATAGTGTTACATACGCGTGCCCACACATACTCACGCACGCACGCACCACACTCACATACACACATACACACACACACATACACACATACGTACATACAAACTCACAACGGTCTACAGCTTGGATGGATTCTGTCAAATCGGAATATGATGAAAATAGAAATGCTTTTAGTTTCTTCTTAAAAATTTCTAGATTTTCTGCTTCTCTGATAGTTTTTGGAAGCCTATTCCAAACAAGTGGTGCAAACTATGAAAATGAGCGTTGGCCATATGATTTGTAATTTATTTTAGGTTTAACCCAAGGATTGTTTTGTCATTTGATGATCTGAGCGTTCTAAGAGGTAGGCCTACATAGGGTGTTAAAAACTTTTAGATAGTCAGGTGATCAATCATGTAAGCACTTGTAGCAAGTTAAACAGATTTTATATATGATACGCTCTTTCACCGGGAGCCAGTGTAGTTCTTTTAAAATAGGAGTCACATGATCATGCTTTTTGTTTGTTTGGCAAGTGTTTTACGGCCCTCGCAACTGCATAAGGTCACATGAGCGCACGGGACACACCTAATACTTTTAGTTGGTAGGAAATTTGAGAATTTTGCCCGGGTGGCGGCCGAAGCCTACTCTTATCGATTTTAGACCACCAAGGGATCTTTAAGGTGCGCAACTTGCACACGGGACCTCCGAGATTTTTCGCCCTTGTCCGAGAAGGCTAGGTGTAGATCTTTCCTACCAGAAGATCAGGGGTGGGGCAGAAAGACAGCTGTAAGAAGGAGTCAAGGAGTAGCAGTAGAAAGGCTGCAGAAAGAGTCAGGAGCCCAGAGGAGGGGGCAGAGGAGGTGAGGGGGTGGGGACAGAAAGAGGAGACGAAAGCAGACGACAGAATATTGCTAGAGAGCTGGAAAGGAGGTGAAAGGAGACAATTTTAGAGAAGAAAATATTTTTGGTCGCTACCCGGATTCGAACCCGGGACCTTTGAATGAGAGGCCAACACCTTAACCTCTAGGACACGAGAGCCCCCTGATCATGCTTTAGTTTCTTAGTAATTATTTTGGCTGCAATATGTTGTACTCTTTGTAGTTGTTGTAACTGTTCATCAGGTACACCAGCCAGTAAGGAATTGCAATAATCAATCCTTGACAATATAAGTGATGTTATTAAAGTTTTGGTGACACCAACAGATAGATATTTTCTAATGCTCCCTATTTTCTTCAGTTGAAGATATAGATTTTTACAAAGATTGGATACATGGGATTTCATTGACATATTTTGATCTAGCACTACACCTAATTTTTTTTATTTTAGTTTGGGCTGATATTTCGTGGCCATTGATGTTTATTCTGATATTGTCGATTTCATTGCATGCGCTGCTACGAAGAAATAATATTTCGGTCTTATCCTCATTTAACTTTAATTTTTGTTCTTAAGCATCCATTTTCTTATATCATTGATACATCTGGCGATTCTATCTATGATATTGTGTACATTATCAGTTGTAGTGAATCCATACAGCTGTGTACCGTCTGCAGAAAGATGGTAATTGAGGGCATATAAAGAAATTATTGATGACAGACTTTGCGTGTGCATTGTAAAGATGACAGGACCAAGGACCGAACCCTGAGGAACTCCATACTTTAGAGGTAACCTATCTGACACATCATTGCCAATTTTCACTGACATAAATCTATTGTCTAGATATGATTTAAACCACATTAGAACAGTACCTGATAGTAAAAATGAGTTTTCCAATCTCTCTAGTAAAATTTCGTGGTCGATGGTATCGAACGCCGCTGACAAATCAAGTAGAACCAAAACACAGACTTTTTTATTATCGATTTCATTTAAAACATCTGATGATACCTTTAAAAGAGCGATTTCCGTACTGTGTGTACTGTGATCACAATTTTTGTAAACACCAGAGAGCTCTATTCTAACAAATTCCTTAATAAATACTAATGAAAACCCCCAGTGGGTGGTTTCTACGGATTTTAAAAGTTTACAGCCGGGACACGCTTTTAAGAGCAAGTCCGTCATTTTTTTTTTCTAATCGCAAGAATATGTTTATTGAACGCATGTTTTGGTAACTTTTAGCGAAAAAAAGTGTTCACCATAAAACTTATTTCTTGTTACTAGCTTTGCTACTAAAAAGTGTCACTGGTGAGCTGTGATGCGTAGGCCAATATGCGTATGCAAAATGTGTGTGAGAAGCGCAAAGTGCTGTTCCATTTTCTGTGTGAAGGAGATTTGTAGTTTGTAGTGGGTCTATTGTATATAAATTTATTAAGAAAAGTTTGTTAATCTAGCCCCAATTGCTGTGGAACAATATGATTTAGTTAAGACAAATTTAAACAAACTGCTGTGCATAGTAGTATGGGTGACATTGATTTGCTCGTTAGAAAGATTTTTGAGGCTAAGTTGCGCCACGAATTTTTGACAGCACTGTAAGTACAAAGGAGACTTCTTGTGTCTGTCTCGACAAATTGTTATTGCACAACACGCGTGAGTGTTCCTCGCCTGACTGGCTGCGTTTCACTTGCTCTGTGTAGCTTTTGTGACCGTCTGGTGTATTACCAATGGAATACATCCTTCTGGGACTATATTATTAAATATACATTTCGCCCAACTTATTAAGCATTTCAGACCATCATTCTCGGGATAAACTGTGTGTACAAAAAGCTGTTTACCAAGTTTTCGTCATGGAATTTTCTTGTTCTCATTTCAGTAATTTTCAATCTCAACAGCGTTGTACACGACCGCACTTTGCCCGCCCAACAAGCGGTTGGCTTCACAATGACGTTATTGTCCCAACCCTTGAGCCCGGACAAGTTTCACTCCTTTTACAACTGGTGATTGTTTACAACCACGACCTTACTGCAAGTACTGTGTGTGCTGTGAGAACTCGTTGTGTGTGTGTGCATATGTGAATGTGTGTGTGAGTGTGTGTGTGTTTGTGTGTGTGTGTTTGTGTGTGTAAAAGAGAGAGAGAGAGAGAGAGAGAGAGAGTTATGGGTGTATGTTTGTGTGAGAGAGAAAGAGAGAGAGAACTATGTGTGTGCTGTGAGAACTGTGTGTATGTGTGTGTGTGTTTATGTGTTTGTGTGTGTGTGCGTGAGTGTGTAAGTGTATATGTGTGTAGGAGGGGGGTGGGGGTGCTGTGAGAACTATGTGTGCTGTGAGACCATGTGTGCTGTGAGACTGTGGGCTGTAAGAACTCTCTGTGTTTGTGTGTGTGTGTGTGTGTGTGTGTATGTGTGTGTGTGTGTGTGTGTGTGTGTGTGTGTGTATGTGTGTGTATGTGTTTGTGTGTGAGTGAGTGAGTGAGTGAGTGAGTGTGTGTGTTTATGTAAGAACTGAGTATGTGTGTGCTGTGAGAACTATATTATGTGTTGTAAG